TATATTTGTTCGTATTTTATTTAACAATTATGTATCACAGTAAATGCTTGAACGCACCATTTTCGAGTAAGTTGTTGTGCTCGAGTCAAATGCTTGAAATACACGTACATTAAAATGATCAAAGCTTTCAACAGATGCATTTGTCGATTCCTATCATAGATTTAGCGAAATTTTTTGTACTGCAGCTAATATCAGTGAGGTCGAATATAAACGTGGACTTAAAACCGTCCACACAGATGCAGTATCCTCTTCGAGACTAAAGTTGTCAGACAACAAGGTTCTCAATAGGCCTCCGCCTAACATCTCTCTAGAAGAGCAACGTCTCCCCCGTGCAGCAAGAACTGTTCTAGCTGAATCGAGATCAGGGTGTAGCCAAGTGCTAAACAATTACTTGTCACACATAAACACGATTATGCCCAATGTGTGTCCAAACATGTAGAGTAACCCCATGACGACGCTCATATGATCTCCTGTTCTACAACGCAAACAAATCTATGTGCAATTGAGTTTTGGATTCACCCCATTGAAGTAGCCAGGTGTCCGTCTGGATCTAGGTTAATGTTCAATTAAATCCCATCCATCCAATCCACCACTTATCCTCATTCCTCCTCTCCATCACTCCCAACCACTACCCATCCACTTTCCCACTCATGTAATTATCTTGTATATACTTTCATGTTATCTGTTTAAGGTCTCAGCGGGTTACAACTACAGCAAGCTTCCAACAGCTCGAATAATATTTAAAGCCAATTTTATAAAGTTGGAAAACATTATTAAAATTACACATTATTTAATATATAATCTATAAATATAACAAATAAATTTTTTAATTCTGTACTTTAAGATATATCGAAAAAATATCAGAAAATCCATGTTGTCCATTATGTCACAAAGATATGTCCAATAACGAGGTAAATTTCACTCACTTGTTATAGCAATACAATATTAATATAAATTATTTTAAAGACTATGGACCTTACTACTGAATTATCTGATGAAATACTACATTTGCCAGATAATATAAGACGAGCGGAAAAGATTTTGAAAGAAAATCAGTTAAAATACGAAAACTTACTGCAGTTAAAGCCTGTCATTGAAAAGGTCGCAAAGCTAGAAAAGGATATACCTAAACGCAAGAAACAGTTAAATGATATTAAAGATAAATTGGCAGCATGTGCTATTGAATTAGATACTTTACAACAGCAAATTGCGGAACCAACTGCAAAAATGGATTTGGCTAACTCAATGTTAAGTGACATGACTATTTTGGATGAAGCTATTAAGGATGTTGCACGTTTTAAAGATGAACTACATAAATTAAAGGTTTGGTCATTTTAAAGTAAAAGATATTTATTTTTGATATATAATACTAAATTGCTAGTTACTAATGAATATTACTAATTACTAGACTAAATTACCGAGTGACTATAATCCAGATGATACTGTTTCTATAGAAAATCTTCAATTAGAAAAAACTACACTCTCGGCAGAATTGGAAAATGAACGAAAAAGTATAGAAAATATGCAACATTTATACGAAAAAGTAATGGAATCTTTGAATACCCTTCGCGAAAAAAAGAATACGTAAGTTTTCAGTATGAATTATAAAAGTTTAAAAATATTTAAAAACCTTAAAATCACTATATAAATCATATAACTTTTAGGTTAAAAGACGAACAGATAAAATTACAGGAAGGTGTACAGTCTTTGCCACAATTAAAAGATAGACAAATTGAACTTGTTAATCTAGTTGAAACGGTTAAAATCGAATTACAACAATCACAAGCGAAAGTTAATCCTTTGGGACAGAAGCTTAAAACTGCTATAGTTGAAAAAGCTAAATGCAAAGAATTGAATCGGAAAAAGTTGCAACAACTACAGTCAAAGTTGGAAAAGCATAAAAATCTGAATCAGGATATAAAAAGGTATATAAGAAAATGACTTTATTTAAATTTGGTGAATGAAAAACAATTTTATCTTAATCTAATTATAAATTTGTACATGCTAAATATCTTAATGAATAATATATTTTCAAATTAAAATAAGTTATAAATACTTCATAAGCTTTTTTCGAGTGTAGGTTTGAAATTGGGTTAAAATCATTTTAATATGCATTTATCGTATTTACTGACCGGACAAGACTCTCTTTAACGACAATAGTCGAAATTGTGAATCAGTGGAAGACGAAGGAAATGTTGATCATCTGCTCTGCCACTATCTGGCACTATCCAGATGTGTGTATCTACTACAGGTCTATCTTTTCCTAAATTTATATACGTCATCCGTAATGGAATCGCCAAAGATATTGCGCACTTTATTAAAACAAAACAATAGTTTTCTAGCCAAGACAAGTGTCGTTATTTTAGTTAGCCAATAACTCGATTGTCTGTCCGACATTGCATTAGAAATATTGACCGCTATATAAAAGTGGCACAATTATTCGGGATAATATATTTACAATGAGCATTTCACGTGCTATCATAACAAGACCCCACCTATTGAAGCCTAAGTGTGCTACATTTGTAGTTCTACCCCTATTGACGTCGCCCATCTATTTCCATGTCAAACGACTAATTTGAGTTCTACTGATATATTGTAGAATGATATGTTAAGATACTGTTATTTATTAAGATAATTGATTTCCTTATATGCACTCAGGCAAAAAAATTAAAATGTAAAAATTTCGTCTATTCAATTTCCTAGTTTTGGAAAGGTGAGCAAACACCTT